CTTTGAGCGGTGACTGTAACACCAGAAATAACCACGACAATTATGGGGACGGCAGATGTGAGCAATAAAACAGAGAGGCTTCTTCAGCAAGTTCAAGACTGTCGTAGCTTGCTAAACACTTCGCATAAAATACTAACTGAAGACCCTTGTATTTTGTGGAAAGGTGTCTTTCAAAAGCAGCCTTTTCTGCCCCCTGGTTTGTGCTCCCTGCACAGAAATTGCTTAGAAAAATGTAATCGCACTGTAATATTCAACAGGCAAAAAAGACAGAGATTCAAGATCTAAGACTGACGAAAGCAAAAACGCAGGGCAGTATGTCTATAACACACATAAGTGCGTCAATTGTTAGGTAACGCTAAGTGCTGTAAGAGGACTACTATGTTGTGAGTTGACGCTTGCTGGAGCTAAATACTACCAAGGCAGGCTTGCATGACATTACTTATGGCCTCTTTCTACTTCCCAACATTCAACTGATGAAACCTTGTGAAGATGGTTGGAAACGACGATGGACACTTTTCAGAGACATAATATTCCGCCATTCTACAATTCTTGAACCGGAGCATCTACGGCGTCATGCCAGTTTACGCGTAAGCAAGCTGGAAGGCGTAAGTTCTTGATAACAGTACCAACAACTGGTAGTATAGGCAGACAGTATTGCTGGCACCGAGCAAACAGTAGCTTAATTCCATTCGTGAGTTGCAACACGTTAAACTTGCAGCCGGCAGAGTCAGTTATGATGGGTGCTGTTGAAAACACAAGCAAAAAGGTTGAACTTACCGCGGTCTATTACAGGGCCCATGAGCCGATCATAAACACCACTTTCGTGCATCTTCAAATGAGCCCCAGCCCGTCGGTAGACACAGGCCCTGGCAAAACCCCGATCCAGTGACGCCTTGTTGACAATCAAAGCATCCTCCACATCGTAGCCCGAAAAAGACATGATTGCCACAATGGCATTCTGTCCGGCGGGCAGTTGGTCGAAGTGCAGCATCTCAATTGTCCTCGATTTGACCAACGGACGTTGGGGGTAGATCATCTGCAGCTGGAGAGTGTCAAAGCGGATCTGTTGGTTCAGCGCGATCGTACCCATAGCCTGTTTGCCCATAGCACACTGGTAGGTGTTTCTGGGTGACTGGTTGTGGTCGGGGTAGGGAATTAGGCCAGCAACGACACCCAAAATGGTGGCTGGATCAATTTCCATGTGTGTTGTCGCCGGGCTGACTTCGCTCTCATCCATTGCAACAAGACAGTCGTTGAGTTCGTTGGAGTCTACATACTCGATCACCCCCTTGGCAAGGAAGTCCTCCCAGCCGAGTACATTGGCAGACAAATCCTACAATATGGGATGCAGGATGCGCTGAGTTATGAAAGAGACACAGTATTGGAGTGAGGAAGGAGAAAACAACCGGCAACCTAGCGGACTTACATCAAGCATGTCCTGTGTAACAAGCGGCACTCCCTTGGATACAATGATGTAGGGACGACAGAGGCGACCACCATCACTAACTACATG